CAGCAGTCTTCATAGTTTATGTTTGAATCAATAACTATTTTAATATGGGGAGTTTAGAAAAGTTTGATTCAAATTCCTTTGACACAGTTCCATCAACATCCAGTTATAGAGCCATTCTGCATATGACTCATTAAATATTTAAAAGATTCCTATTATTGAATTAACTATTTATTGATTTATAATTTAAAAGATTTATGCTTGGCCATTAAAAAAAATTCCGAGCTGACTTTCACTTAAAGAGATGTCAGGTGCCATTTGCAGCTAGTGAATGTCTAATGTACCCTTTTCACCCCCAGAGTGAAGAAAGGACAATTACTCAAAGACCTCTGGTTCAATATTCAGACTGTTTAGATGCTGAGGTCTGTGGTTGCTTTTTGTTCCTGCGGCATTAGGTCATGCTCAGCAGCCTCTATCCCTCCCACAAACCTCAGCCTCCGTGGAAATGCACAGCTTGTAGTTTCTCTCCCGTTACATTTATTGATTTACATCCTGGATGAATTTTGCTACCTGGAAGAGGCTTGCTGATTGTATTCTGGTTGCAGCGATGCTCTTGCTGAGGTCACGAGCACACATGGCACACGTATGCACATACATGCACAGCTGATCCTTCTTGTCCAGCACTGCTCTTAAAGGAACTAATGCAACAAAGCACTCCAGGCTGGGAGCCATGCTTCTGGAAATTAATGGGCCTTTCTAAAATTAAGGATGGAATTAAGAGCTCTGCTGAATCAGAACCACAGAAATTAAAATTTCCTCTGAGCACGGTAACATTAACTCCCAGCTATAAATCCAGGAGTTATCGGGCTATGGCTTTGCTCTTTCTATAAAGAGTTGGAGTAAAAGATATTTATATATTGCCTTTATTTAGCACCTTTAATCTGAGGCTCACAAACCGCTTTACCAGCATTAATTATTTAAATCTGGAAGAGCCCCTAAGGGGTGCCTATTATTATAATACTCCTTTTACAAATGAGTAAACTGATGCACAGGAAGGTTAAGTGACTCTCTGAAGGCCACACAAAGAGTCCACCCTGAGCCAGCGATAGGCTTTCAAAGAGAAGAGAAAAGGCACAAGCAGAATAAATGCACCGCCTGCCCAACTGTACAAACGAAGACATTCCCAAATACAGACAGCAATACTACTTGGTCTAAAGGAAAAAAAAAAGAAAAACAAAACATAGCAATGACTTGTGTCTGTACACAGCTAGGAAAGGTCTGCTTCAGATAATGATCTCTCGCTGTTTGTTTTACTTTCGACTTTGGGGACCTAACTTTTAGTGATACACATTTTTCTACAACCCATTCTTGGCTTTATATCAAAACCACGCCGAGTACTCAGCACAGGTCTGTCGGACAAATAGTGGAGCAATGCACCATCCTGTAGAAATGTTGCTTCAGTTTCTCCAATCCCTGAATTACAAATAAAGATTTCTGTGAAATGAGAAGACTGCTCGCTCCAAGTAGGAACTATTTCAAGTCAATCTGCCACATAACTTTTCCTGTGGTGTTGCTGGAAGATAGGGATCAACTCTAGGAAAATAATTTTTTGAATATCAGACATGAGTTTTGTCTCCTGCTCTTTTCCATGGGTGGTGGCTCTGCAGCAAAGCTGTCTGCTGGGCACCTCTTTGCCAAGCAGTGCGTTGGAGCTGTTTGCAGAGCAGCTGTACAATTTTTGCTTCTGACTCAATCAGAAAATGACAGAGCATTCATTTACGCACTGACATCGCCAGTGGAGAAGAGGTTTGCCCTGGAGCTGCCATGGCCCACTCAGAGCCAAGAGGGCTGTGTGGCACAGGGCCTGGCAGGGCTTCCAGCACAGAAGCCCTCGCTTGGTGCCCAGCGTGATCTCAAAAACTACGTGCAGGCAGCTGTGGTTTGAGTGCAGGGAGGGATGAAGATTCGCCCCTCCAGGGACAGTGCTAACAGACAGGCTCCTTATCAGCTGTGTCACCTGTAATGGACTGGAAACTGAAAAGCCCACAACAAGGAATAAAAATGAGCATCCGCCTCTCTCAGCAGAGCAGGACCTCTCAGGCAAAGATAAACCGTCTGCCAGCCCCCATTAGGAGCTGTGTGCTCACACCTTGTTGTCTGTCCGAGGCAGGAGAACGCACAGCCCATTCCATTGGGAGCATCCCCAGGCCTCGGCCATTCCATCAGGAAATCAGCTCCTTCCCTCTGCTTTTCAGATGAAGGCTCCTGAGCTGCAGGTATCAGTGATGCACAGGCAATTTCAGCGCTATCCATACCCCTCCAGGAACACCACCTCCAAAACCAAGTGCTTCCTCCTGCTCAGAGGCTGTGCTTGACCTAGAAGGACCCATTAGCTGCTGGCAGGGTAAAAGTAAGGTACCTCTGGCAACATACACCACTGCTGAAAACTTGCATCTGAACACAGAAGAGCCTAAAAGATTTATTCTGTAATCCATTGGCAGGCCAAAAAGATCTGCCTGCATTTGAAGGCTTTTTAGTATTAAATCTTAGCCAACACAGCAGCGAATATGATGTGTCATGTTTCATACAATAAAATATATAATGCTGACTTTTACATATGCAACTGCACAGAGTAGTCAGGAACATACGCACAAAGTAACAGCTATCTGATATTTAAGTACCTGAGAATTACAACATTGCTATGTAAATACATGCATGCTCAGAGACAGGCAGACTGGAAAGGATACATACATGAATGGACTAATTCAAACTGATTGGAGGCAAAATGAATTATTCACTGAAGGTTTTTTATCTGCATTATTCACAGGATGCATTGGAACGCAATTATCCACTTGGTCAGTAGACCTCTATCCAAAATTTACCATGCTGGACTTAGAGAAAACAGAGAAAAGGTTATTTCACAATTTGAGGTTCAACCCAGCTCTGCATTTAATAGTAATCACTGCACACCAGGATTAATAGAACATCATTCAGAGACTGAGAAAGCAAGTTATGATAAAGAAGCTGTTGGAACAGGAAACATTTGATTTCCCTGGAGCCCTGTAAATCCATTTCTGATGTCCTTTCAAATTTTCTGTTATTTGCTGCAAAAATTTTAAACACCAGTAAGAGAGCGAAGCAGCTGACGTTGCCATTTACCATGAAAGGGATTGTGTTTTGGCCTCGCGTGTGCAGACTGGCTCAACGTGCTCAGCAGACACATCAGGATGAGAGACGCCCTCGGAGTGGCTTGGATTTTGGTGGCACGCTGGATCAGCACCTCCTTGCCTTTGTCTTGCCTCCCGTTCCCACTGAGCCCTTTCTTGCTCTCCCACGGCATCTTCCCCTCCAGCATCCTATCATGGAGCACCTCCAGACCTCCCCACGCCTGCGCTGCTGGGTGCTCCCTGGAGCAGGCCTTGCAGGGTTCTTGTGCACTGCACAGTCTTTTCAAAGTTCTAGCAACAGCAGGCCATAAATCTGTGTTAGGCATGCAGCAGTCCAGCCAAGAGGGCTTTAATACCATAGGATTTATTTTATTTTATTCTGTTTACTTTAAGTCAACTAATTTTGTACTAAATTAATTCTGATGCTGTTCTGGGTATTCTGCCAACTTTTAAATGGAGCCACCCAAGCAGAGAGGGCCAGGTACCATCTCCCAGGGAGATGCCAGCTTCATTGAGCAGCTCGTCACCTAGCGGCAGATTCCAAAGCAGGACACAACGCCATCCACCAATGGGGCACCTTTACAAACTCTCCCGACTCTCTGCATTCTGTGATCCGTAATCCAGCACTGCTGCCCCTGCCTTCACAGTGGTAGCCCAGCTGAACGCTCCCGGTGTGACTTTGGCCATTCAGACAGTGCTGCAGTGTGGGTTCAGTTTCCAGCCGCTGCAGATGCACCATCGTGCTGCAGACAGGTCGCTCTCTGTGACGTCCTTCACTGCTCACCAGCATTGTGTTCACAGCGTTCTTTGTCAGCCCTCTAACCTATTTAGACTGCAAGATAACAACAAGAAAACTATTTTCCACAATAAGAATCTCTTGACATGAATGCTTCCCCATGACATTAAAAATGACAGCGTTGAGAAGCTGATAACCAGTGCGAGATTCTTGCAGGAGCCGCAGAAATTGGAGCTTGCAGTGCACACACGTGGGCTCTGTTTGCTGCTGTGCTGAGGAATGAATTCTTCGGAATCTAAATTTTTCTCTTCTTCACAAGTGTGGAAGCATTATTCATTTTTCACTCCTTATTTTTCCACTAGATAAAGGGGAAAACAAAAACAAAAACAAACAGATTTAAATCCCCAGATGCTTCAACAGTTTTATTTACACGCTTTCCTCCACTTTTGTCACTAACACTGAAATATTGCTGCTCGTAACAAAGTGCATTCTGCTGCTTTCCACAGAAGTATCAGCACATTAAAAGCACGAGGGATCCAGGAGTAAACTCCCTTTCCTCTCATCACACTAATGCACTTCCCAGAAGGATGAAAAACATCTCCTCCATTTCCATGATTGGCAGAGACAACTTTAAAGCCAGCTTTCAAAGCCAGCGCTTTAGATTCGGCAAATTTGAGTAAGCAAGAAAAATGCTTTTTGTCATTTTTGCTTTACTGTCATTTGACAGAGATGCCATCAGTTCTCAGTGGCCCTTAAGAACAGCAGGAATTCTGGTGCTGGAGCCATCTGCTCGGCCACAGATCACAGCCAGGCTCCATCCACACTGCTGAAGTTTAAGAACACAAAACACATTTTGAGCAGCAGGTCACATTTACCAAATCCTAGCCATGCATGACTTTACTATGTGAGCAGCCGATTCTTATGTTTCTTCATCAAGGAGTTTTTCTTCCTGCTTTCTCAGCTGTACAGTGTCTCTGCCTTTTTTTTTTTTTTGGCTTGAGGTCTCTGCCTAATTATCTGTAACCTTCTGTTCGAAGATCGCTGTCCTGCCCTGATAAAAACCAGTAACTTTGAAAACAAACTGGGTCTTAATTTTCCTTGACAGCCCTTCTTTAAACATGTGGGCAAAGCCCCAGCTTAATTAAATGCACATTCGTATTCCAAACAAATTAAGTACAATTAAGGACTCTGAGTTATGGGTATCTATCACTCGGCGATGTTTTTGTAAAAATTACCACATTTAGATCAAACACAGAGGACCCTTTGCTTAATTGCTTCATTAGGGCCCGATGCAATAGGCTTCATAAATACAGGGTCTGATGTCTCTTTGGGAATTGCCCAAAAGACGGCTCTTAAAGTAATTGCTTCCACATTTCTCCCCGCGCGGCGTTCATGCGCTCACTGATCAACATGGGATGGCTCTCATGCACACCAGTGGCTGTGGGTCCGTTTCCTCTCCCAGCCCACAGCTCTGCCCAGCTGCCAGGAGTCACAGAGCTCAGGCAGGGCTGCCTGCAGCAACGGGGAGCGCAGCGCCTGCCCAGCTCTCCCATGCAGAGCCCACAGACGGAGGCACACACGGTGCACTAGGAGTTGATCTTCCAAAAGTTGCTCTGGAACAACAATGAACCCCCAGAATGCATCCCATAGATGTGTCTTCATATCTTTCCCTGGCTTTTTTCTTTTAATAAACGCTGATATTCTGCTTTTTATTAAGCCACCATTTATCATTTACAATGACTGCATCAGCTGAATACAGACTTCCTTTGACGAAACTAAACTTTCCTTTGATCACACCTGTAGTCGGGAAGACACTTAAAGGGAGTCCACAATGAGTTTTTTTTCCCTGTTGAGATGCAGAAGGAGCAGCAAAAGAAGACATGCAGTTCTTTCCCTTTCTGCATTTGTTTCCTGGCTCAGTGGACGCTCAGTTCTGCCGTTTCCCTGCGGTGTGCACCAGAAGCTGCAGTAATGATTGCAGCAGAGCCAAGAGGCAGTGAGAGCCACCTCAGCAGAGCAGTGAAGAATGGTGTGTCATTCTCCAATGGAGTGTTTGCAGAACTGGTGGTGGTGCTTTTTATTTTTTTAATCAGATATTCCTCTTTTTTTAGCAAGAACAAAGTGTAACCAAAGGATTTTCCTCTCCAACCCTCTCTCCCAGCTCCTTTTTATCTTTTTTTTCATTTGCTTTTGAATGAAGGCAGAGAACAGAAACATGGAAAGAAGTAAAAGGAAAAAAAGAAATAGGTCTCCCATAAAACACAGGATTCCAAGTTTCGGGTGCACGCTAAAAACGAGCAAAATACATTCTTTCTATGATGAAACTTTCTACTTTCTAGAGAAGTGCAATTTTTTCATTGAGATAATCATTTAAAAATCATAGAGAACAGACTTTTCCATGGCCCGTTCTCTCCAGCTCTATCAGCTGCTGCCTTTTGGGGCTGGAAATGCCTCCTCTCCCCATGCAGGGCAGGGATACCCTTTCCCCCAGGGCTCACAATGCCTGCCCAGCAGTTCCTTGAGCAACCTGAGCCTATAGAAAACTCAGCTTTGTAGATCTGCAGATTTTTTCCTGCAGATACCATCGGGATAAAGAACACAGCAGTCACAAAGAATGCGCAAACATCTCTTCTGTAAAACAGAAGTCAGCCTGATTTCCACAAGCCGTGAAAGTCCATCAACCTCCAGTGGCCAAGGAAACACAGCTACTTATTTTCTGACTGCTTTATTCTCCAGACCAATTTTCCTCAATGCTGAAGAAAAAAAATGAGCGGCAGATTGTCCAGTTTATGACTAGATGGCTGGCAACAGAAATCCTATTTCCAAACTGACCCCTGCTTTGCAGCATGGCATTCATTAATTCCACAGTCTCACATTTCTAGGAAGATGTCAGTCATGTATGTGATTTTTCTATCAGCTATTAATGCCAGATCACAAGGTGAGAAAGCAGGGGTTTTAATCTCAAGACCCTCAGGAGATGGAGCTGAATACATTTGGTGTGAGCCATGTGTCTGGAAATGTCAAGGACAAATATTTTTAAAGTAAGGAGTGTTCATATCCATGTGTAATCTTAAGTACTACAGAAGTGATCCAAAACATAGCCCTTTCCTCCTTGTTATGATTGTTCAGCTGTAGCCAGCATATAACTGCAGCTTCCCAGGAATTAGCTAGGCATCTCTGCACTTAGGAACTTGCATATTTACACTGAGCAACATTTTAAGGCTCTCCTAAAGGCTTCGCCCGTAACAGGATGTTTAGTTTTCTATTTGCAGAAAGGAAAAGTTTTATTGTAAAAGTTCCCTGTCTGTCTCCAAGAACTGTCTGTTCCTCCATTCTGAATGCATGAGCAGTTCCTCACCCCAGCATTTTGTGTTGTTCCTCATCAGGCTCTATTCCTGTGGTCTGCAAAAAGGCACCAAATTTATGACAAGCAGACGGGAGAAACAACAGGCACTTCCAGCAGCAGAAACCTGCCTTGCCAGCCCGCAGCATCAGCAGGACAACTATTTCATGTACCAAGGGATGATATCTAACTAACACAGTACAGTCAGTGGTCGCTCATTTGCCCTTCACATACCGTCGCTCATTTTCCTTCTGTGAGCCTACTGACAATTATTCAAGTCCAAACTACAGGCTGTACAAATTGCCAGCCTTCCAACGGATGGGTACCAGGCACTCATTTCTGTGTTACCACTCGGAAAAGTGAGAAAGAAAAATTTCTGAAGAAACAGTGATGGTGTGAAACCCTTTTGAATTCTTTTCCTAGATAGCCTGCTCTACTGCTTGAAATGCAGATCCCAGCCTGCTTTTAGCCGCTAACTGCCATATAACATATTATCCTACTTACTGCATACAGTTCCAAACATCTTGTATCTGGAAGCAACAAGGGAGAAGGCTCCTTTATCAAGTCAATCTCAAATCTCATTATGTTCCCCTACAACAGTTTCCGTAAACATTCAGCAATTTTCAGTGTCTGAGCTACGCAGCTGAAGAGGTGCATAAACAGGCTCCACTGAAATGTGAAGATGACTGATAATGTACTAACATTGAGACCCCTTGCTGTGATTATTACCCCCTGAGTGCTCCTTACAGAATGTGCCTCTTATCTCACACTGACAACGCTAATAGAATATGCATAGCCCTATTAGCATACAAGATAATAGCACCCTGGAGGGGACAGAGCCATAAAACTTTAAGTAGAAATCAAAACAGAAGGAGGAAGAAAAAGGGAACATTGTCACAAGGAAAAAAAAAAAGAAAAGAGCCCGAGGGCAAATCTTGCAGCAGAAAACACACGTAGTCATAATTCTTGTTCTAGTCACCATGCGAATGGTAATAGTCCTAGTCCCATGAATACTATCAGTGCCACGTTCGCTGTGAAACATTAATTGAGATAATGTGCCCCTTTCGGATGCAGCAGGGAGTCGTATGTCAAATTGTACCACAACAAAATTATGGCAGCATCTGCAAGGAATGCACAACAGCAACTGGGGCACCCTGCACTGGGGAAGCCCAAGTGGGCCTTTGCCTTTGCAGATGGCATCTGCAGGAGCTGCAAGGAGAGCTGGGCAGCTGCTCCCGCAGGCGGCACACACACATACCTGCGGCAGAAAACCCTGCAGGTTGGCTGTGTTATCTCCTGACCCTCCCTCAGTCACTGCATAAAGCCTCACACAGCTCTTTGAACGCCAAGGCCTTTCTTCAGTCACGTCGGCCCGGTGCATTCACATTTGTTCCATGTAACCGTCCATTGTGGCAGACCTTTCACTGCTCACCCATGGCTGGCAGACAGCCACGCATTCATATGCTTTCCATCTTACAGCAATAGCCAAAGTAAATCTTTCAGTGCTTGGCACAAGAGTGTGAATTCAATAAAAAAGGCTTCAAACAAGTTTGAGATGGCTTGTCTCTAAACAAGCGAGGAACAGTGAGCTTTTCTAATGCTCATTGTGGTTCAGTTCCTGCCTGCAGCTAAATGCAGATAACCCCCAGCAGCACTGACAGCCCGTCTGGTACCCCAGTCACCTGTCAAGTGGGCACACCAGTGCCCACACATCCAGCTCAGAGGGCTGGAGAGAAGTGACCTGCTGCTTACCAGGAGCTTCAACGGGGACAATCAAAGGTCCTTGTTGGCTTCTTTGTGAGATGTGAAACGTTGCAATAGTAGCACTGAATGTGCAGAGCCCGGGGTAATCGCTCTGTGCTTTTTCCCTTACAGAAAGATGGTGTCAGGAGGTAACAAGCACTGGATCCCCGTGGTGCATTTTGAAGCATCGTGCAAAGTTTTCTGGGATTCTTCATAGCATTCACTGTGGTTTCTATAGAGCTAAACTCTTTGTGAAGTGGCTTTGTGTTGCAAAGTTTTTGCAGCTTGTGGGAGTCTGCTGCACTTCATTTTGGTTGATGGTATTTTATGCTGCTGGTTTCAGCAATTAGAACTCAGTTGGAAAAGACTCCAGTAAAGAAAATCCAGCCATTTTAGAAAAGGAAGGTGGAGAGGAGGTTATAGGAAAGACTCCTGAATGCACCTCTATAGTGTCTGTGTTTAAGCAAGCAAGCAACCTCTCCACCCATGTTATCACAGGGAAAACAGGTCATCTCAGAAACACATGTGCTTCTCTGGGACATTGAGTGGTGGTTCCTATCACTCAACCACAGCTGAGAAGTGCTTGCAAATGTGGGAGTAATATTTTGTGCATTCGGTGATTAGCAATTACCTGCTTTAAATTGTTCTTTGTATTAAAAAAAAAAAAAAGAAAAGAAAGAAAAAGAAAAAAAAAGAAAAAAGAAGAATCTAAAGATGCTAAAAGCTTGGTGATAAAAGATGTATTATAATATGACAATGGAAACAGAAAAACAGAGAAAAGTTTGTGCTTTCTAGAAGAAAGCGAGTTACTCCCATGTCAGCTTTGATCTGAAACTTTTTGCTGTATCTCCTTACTTTCATATCTTTCTGTAGTGAGGCCCAGCCCCTGTGTTTGGGTCTTGCCACACTCACACACTGAATCGCTCCTCAGTTCAGCACTGCACCCAAACACAGACTTCTTTCTAAAAGTTTAACCTACAGATGTCAAGGTTTTGCTTGTGGACATTTCCTGGCCAGAACAGTGGAAAATCTCCCGGTAAAAATGTGTTAGTTGTGCATTACTTACGTATTCATCCAGAGAAGAATAGATGCTAGCACAGCAAGGCTCTGTGCATGCGAGGGAGAAACACAGCGCATGTGTGCACTTCAGAAAGACAGACTGGCAAAGCCAGGAATACCAGGCAGCTCGTTTCAACAGCAGAGGCAGTCATTTAATGCATAAGTAATTATTCAAGAATAAATAAGTCTATTTTTTTCCCCGTGCTAAGGCATAACTTTTATTTAGCTGACATTATCTCCAAGGATCCTTAGCAGCCCAGGACACAGCAATGTAATACAGTGCAGTCTGGATGCTGTTATGTATTTATTTAGTTGTATCAGGGCCCATTTAGTAGCAGCTCTGCAGTTTATCAAGTAAATATCGAATGCCAAATACAAAAGAGAAGAAAATAGCAACATAAAAAATTTATCTTTGGGGGGAGGAGAGGGAGAAAGAGAGAGAGAATGGTGCTGATAATGTGATTGTGCCTTCAGCAATAGTGGCTAATATCCTTTTGCAAGGGGTGCAGTGTAAAAATATTCCAGAGCTGGGGGAGGAGAAGCAAAGAGAGGGGAGCAGAGCTGTTGTTTGTTTGTTTTAAAGTGTATTCTGGTTGCAGGCTGGGTCAGCGGGTGGCCAGACTGAGAAAATGAGTCCCCCGGGCTGTAATAATTGTAACTGTCAGGGAAAAAAAGTCAAGGTCTTACATAGCAGTGGTCTGCTCTGACTTCTGACCATGGAGAAATATATATGAAAACTACTGCCTGGGGCACTATGGGAAGAAACCAAGAGGTTTTAACTCCTGGTGGCTTGTGCTTATGAATTGGAAACCTCATTTTGCACCTTGGTGGTTTGTATCTTTCTGGTTGTTTTCATTTGCAGTATAAATGAAGCTAGAGATCCTCCTCTCCTTATGCTTACAGCTGTGATGCAATGAGCACATATTGCTAAGCCAGCTTTGTATTTCTGAGTATCAAACAGCGTGGAGACCGATAACTGATAACTGATCTTTTAACAGTGAATATTCACAAGGAGAATTTGAATCTAATTACATCTGCAGCATGTTCATTACTCACCAGAGAGCTCCACAGCTGCCTGCAATGGATTACTCCACAGTTGCACACAGGTAACTTCACTGACATCATCAGAAATATCCCTAATATAAAAAAATGCAAGAGAGAGGTAAGAGGCTGAAAAAGTTAAACCATGCAAGAACAAATCATGTAAGCAGGAGGAAAAAAACAGAAGCCATAGATTTGTCTTCTTTTTTCCATTTTTTTTGCGTTTGGTTTTGTTTTTAATTACACAGCCATGGACTAGAAGCGAAACTGGTCAGGCTCCTCGTGAATCATCAATCTACTCCTTTATTTAAGAAAGTGTGGGAGCTTTCATGAAAAGTTTGCTAACAAACCTGAGCCCAGAGCATTTTGGTAATTCATTATTAAGTGGAATACAAAATATTTATATATGTAATGAGACCCCAAATAAACCATACAAACACCAAGCACCAATTATTCTCAGTTTGATCATGACAGCAGCATCCAAGGTGTTGCTGGTAAATGAGGATAACTAATGCTGGGAAGTGATTTACTCGTTGGAAGCCACCACAGTAATGCACCGGGTAACTTTTATGGGCCCCATCTGCACTTTCCCCACTTTCCTTACAGCCTGCCTGTGTCTTGTGAAGGAAGTACAGCACACGGAGTGGAGACAGAGAGAGCAGTAAGTGTTTGTAGTAAGGGACTGAGTCCTGTAGAGCAGACAGGCACAAGTATGAGGAGAGAACATCGCCATAGCATTCGTGCCTGTTGGGGTTACACAAATAGCTCCCCTGCTTTGCCTCCCAGTAGCCCCAAATCTCAGTAATTCACACTTCATTGCATTTTACAGAGAGGCAGCAGAAAGAAGGGGAAAAAAAAGGAAAACACAGATTTCAGAGCCTCGGTAGAGTCCTTTCCCTCTGCAAGGCGCAGTGCTAGGACGAGCACAGCAGAGACTCAAAGCCCAGCATGAAATACAGACCACAACAAGAGCACATTTTCACCTTCTTATCCTACACTAAACTTCATCGCATTATGCTTGGGAAGACAACAGTTTCCAGAGTGGCATCCAGTCTCTCAATTTAGAGATTTCAAGCACAGAGAAACTCCTACTTCCTTTCGGTGGTCATTCCAGCAGCTAAGAACATCCAGCGCTAAGAACTTCTTTGAGTTTGTCTCCTCCCCAGCAGTCTTTTTTCCTGCTAATGAGGTCTCAGTGTCCCTCTCTGTGGAGACCCCCAAGTGTGGCAGTGAGGTCAGTGCTAAGCAAAGGGCGCCAAAGCACCCGCAGTGCCTCCAGGTTGCTGCTTTAAAGACAGGAGCAGGAGTGGGAGGCTCAGCTCCCAAGGGATGCAGGCGATGCTGAGCCCTGCAGAGCCTCTCTCCTTTGCTGATGCTCTCAGCCTGGAACAGGTGCAGGGCTCCCCGTGCCCCTGCATCCCCAGAGCATTGCTGTGCCCAGGAGGGACAGCCTCAGCCCCGTGCTCAGCCCTCACTGCCCGGCCAAGCAAATGATTGCTCACACGGTTTTCTACTTTAAGGTGAAGGTGGTACGTGTGGAAGATCTCAATGTCACCACAAAGCAGGGAGGGAGGCTGCGAGGAAGAGGAAGGCAGAAACCTTCACAACTAATGTCAATTTTCTGCATCAAATATTTTGATAATTAAACAAAGCTGATCAAGAGAGGAAAACAGCATGTCTCCAGAGCTCCGGAAGCAGAGGCCCATTAAATAGAAGAGTCAGAAAGTGCCAGAGGCGGCAGCCTCAGATTAATGGCACTCCAGTAATAGATTTTCCCAGGCACAGTCACACAGGAGACAACTACTGTGTAGCCAGAGCAGCGAGGAGGCCGTTAAAGCCACAGTAACATTAAATCACCTGGTACCAGGGGCGAGGGATGGATGAGAGAGCATGGGCTGGAAGGAGCAGGGAGCAGCCTGCTTGCAGACAGCAGAACCTTACAGCAGGGGAAGCAGCAGCTCGGAGGTACGATACACACACAGACAGACTGACAGCAGTGCCAGCAGGGAGGCAAATATCTCTTCCCCAGATGCCCAATATCTGAGCAAATGTCTCTTCCCAAAGTGAAGCAGCATGCACTGAGCATTGCAGTGCTGGGTTTTGCTGAGCCTGGCCACGTGTCGCTTCGGTTGCTCCTCTTAATGAAGTGCTGGCTTTATCTCTAGTAGTTCTCCATTACTTTCAGGGCATTACAAACACCGTTTTGAAATCGTTTAAATGCATCTACACCTCAGGAAAGGAATGGGAAGGCAAGTAAGGAGGTGGGAAGGCAGCCCTGCTTCCTTGTTATCCTGTCGGCTTGATCTCAGCAGTGTTTGAACTGATCCTCCTTGAAATGGCCATCTTGTCTAAATCATTTCTATCCACTTTTATAATACAATAACAACAGAAACAAGGGCTTCTTCCAAGTCAGGCTGGCATGGATTAGCGTCCACTAGGAGAGCACTTTGCTCCCAGCTGGGGTGGATGGAAACCAGATGAAGTGGCTGAAAATCGGAAACAACTTTTTAGACGTACTTGAATCCCGATACGATCACATCACAGGGATGGGTTAAATTTATGATCTTATCTAGGATTTTTGTTTGTAATCCATCCCAGGCCCACTGGCTATCACTCACTACGAGCTTATGATTTCCCTGTGCTAACAAGGAAAAGTTGGGACATCAAACTGATATTAGCAGATAGGATCAGAACTGGAACGCCACAGAAAGAAAGAAAAAAGTAACACCCAAAACCAAAGGACAGCTCTGCAGGATGTGGATTTCAGCCTTTGCCCATTTTGGCCCATGCTGCACACATGGACTACGGTGTGTGCAGAAAACTCCAGTTTCCAGGCAGAAAGATTTTGGGATAAAAGCTAACAAAACAAATTAAAGGGGAATACCCTGAGATCAAAGTACAGCTTCAGCATGGAAGTTATGTATCTTTAGTCATGCATATGCAGTGGGGTATGCTCCAGAATGCTCTGATTTCCCTGCTTTCCCCTCGTTATAACATCTAGACACAGTGTACGTCCTTAACAGGTGACTTTTCAGTGGCAAATAAGCACCAAGGAATTGGGAAGGCACAAGAACAGCGCTGCTGAGCATTCTGCACAGCCCTGCAGACAGCGAGGAGTTCCAACTCCACACAGAACCGCTTTCTTCTCATCTTTGTAGGGCTCTGAGTCTAACAGTGTGACAAATCTGTTAATGTTTCAGCAGGCAATCTTGCATTTGTACATCCCCTTCAGTCATTTTCCATATGGAATTGGAAGTGTTTTCTTTCACAAGCAGTCTGTTGATTTCTTTCAATAGAAGCATAAAAACATTGTTCAAAATGGAAAAGTTTCAACCAAGACATTGGGATTGTTTCAAAAATCAGAATTATTGGGCAATCACTGTGAGTTTTGTGAAGACAAAAATTGTATCTACTGCAGAAATGGAATAGATAGGTTCAGCACTTTGCCTATGACCACTGCAGGTAGGAAGGTGAACTGTGAGCCCCATGCTCCAAGCCCAATCCTTTCTCATAAAAATTTGGATACGTTCAGGTGTGCATTTGGTCCATGAGCTCACAATCAACCCTATGCAAGCAGCAGCCTGTGGTGTAATGAGCCCCCCAAAGCAAACACCACTGCAGCAGGGAAATAGCTAGGGCCAGGCTCTTTTATTGTGTACAAATCATATCCATAAATCAAGAATGACTCATCTGAAGTTATTGGTGTTGCTGTGCTTTAGAATGAATGGATCAGAATCTGGTCCACACATTTCACACATTTCTGAGAATCAACATTTGTAACTGTATCAGTAGCCTGGAATGTCTCCTAATTGGCACCAAATGTGAAACAGCTCATTACCTGGGTAGGCAAATAGCTCTAGAGAGATGTCAGAAACTGAATGCAAAGTACACACAGGAACATAAAGAGCAAACAAGTTCCATGCGCAGATAGGAACTGAGGTGTAACAAGCATTAAATAATAGCTATAAAATTTTATGTATGTACACGAATTCCAATATTACTTCATCCAAATTGATGCTTACGTTTAAGGTGTGTGCTGTTTTCCTCTCTGCGTGATAAAAATATTACTCATGAAATTTGTATTTGTGCTGTACAAATATCTTGCAAATTTGTACCACTGTACACTGGTGGCGTGGAGATTTACGGGCGCGTGGAATCTTTTGAACCTATGAGACAGTGAGCAGCTTACAAACCAGCTGTGGAAATATTGTGTTATCCACGAGCTTTGTCACTCATACAGGTGTGCACTTTGGGGCTGATGTCCTTCGTGGGACCCAATAGATGATCTGCATTGAGACGTGTAAAGGAACTGGAGAAAGGTGCCCACAAGATGCTGAAAGCCCAGCATCAGGCAACCATCTTCTTTGTTAATCTTCAGAGTAAAAAGTGCTTGAGGATCCCAGTGTTTATTCAAGCAAATAAAGTTAATAAATCCTGTTAAAATGTTACTAGAGTTTTGCTGCTCTGTTTGAGATTTGTACCCTCCAGTCCCAATGCTGGCTGGGGAAAGGAAGTGCCATTAACTAATGCAGGAAATAAATCCTGCTTTGTCTGCAGCAAATGTGGCTCCTGGACATTCCTGCCAACAACAGACCGTGACTTTGAACGATGCAGAGATGTTCCCTTCCTGCTGATTGTAGCAGCAGAATGGCAGAACCCCATGCTGCTGGATGGACACAGCCCAGGGGCTGGCATGGAGGAGCTGTGCCCCAGCAGAGGAAGGCAATGCTCCAGGTGGGTACCTCACCTTTGGAGATGGGCAGTGCTGCTGCAAGAGAAATCCGCCCCTGAATTGGCCCTAAAATTTAATTTGTTCTCTGAAAAAAACTCTGTCTTGGCATTTTAGGCAGGGCCTTGGTGATTTACAACACAGAGTGACATTTCGAAAAAGATAATGTGGGTAATGAATTATTTGCTGATCCAAACCAACAATTGGACATACTTACTTTTCATGGATTTAATCTTTGCCGAGGCGTTAGCTAGCAAGCATGAAATATCACTTTTTGAAGGCATTCTGTTGCATTTATGCAGTGTACAATTACATTAGGCAGCTTTATGACACATTGACTCGGTCGAGTGTGATGCAATGTAATACAACCAAAGTAATACGAGCTTTTAAATGCAACATGATGGCAAAAATCCATCTCAGATCTGATCTTTGTTTCATATCAGATGCCAACTGTCATAATTCACAGGGACTCAAATCCTTCTGGTTTCGCTCACGTGGGCTCTATCAAAGCCAGGGGGATGTGCCCATACCAGCACGGAAGCGGCGTTCACTCAAACTGAACGTGCAAACAAATGGGTTGTGCTCACCAGCACGCATCCCTTAAGCTGGAGCCCAGAGCTCCACATTAGCTGCAATTCTTTTTCAAGCAAAAATACACGCAGGAGGCCAAGCTGGCAAATAGGAGCACAGAATCTCTGAATTCTATTTTGCTGGCAAGGAGCTTGGCCCACTGAGTGTCTCTGCTTGCACAGAGGATGCGGCTGTGAACAGGCTGGCAGCTCTAAGGACCCCATCAGCATCCCCTGATCAACTGCTGCACAAGAAGCATCCAGATCTTGAGAACAAGTTACACACCATGAGGAGTTTCAGTGATTTCCTATGAGCAGTGCCCTGTCACAGCAGGCAGACGTGGGGCAGGGTCAGGGCTGGATCCTTTCCCCACACGAAGCACTTCAGCCCGCTCCTGCACGGCTGGGATCGGACAGTAGACAGCAATGTGTCCATTCCAATTTCGGTTCTGATCCTGGGATATTTCTAACTCTCTCCATATCCTTGATAGATAATGGTTTAATAAGCGATCTGTTTTTTATTTAAAGGGTCGGTAGTAAAACCCAGATCACATTTCTCACTTGGTGGGTTAAAAAACCGCTTACGCTCATTTCTGCAATGTAAAACGACACTATATCAAATCAAACATTTCCAGATGTGGCCAGCTTGTGTATGGAAGTGCAAGAGCAGCGAGCCTTTATACACAAGCTTCCCAGGCTTTTTAATAGGATTGGAACCCCACCTACTGGCAAAGACTGTTATAAGGACATCAGGACAAGAACACATACAGGCTTCATTCCTGGACTGGAAGGGCAAACCTGCAGAGGGGTTCCTAAACATCTGCTCTCACTTCTTAAAAAGTGCTTAAAAAGTGTCAACTAGAGTAAAGCGATTTTGCTCTTAATTCTGATACTCAAAATCAGATCAGCCATACACAGCCTTTATTGAGATAACGGTCCCACAGGTCTGAGGTACAACAGTCCTGTAACGCACAGTGAAGATGTGCATTGTAAGTGATGCCATGACACTTATGGAAAATGAAGAACCAGGACAGAATGGATAAATATTCCAAATGCCTGCACCTGAATTAGAGAAGCTTGAAAGTCATTCTTATATTTTATTTAAAATTCACTAAAAAAAAAAAAAATCCCAACACTTTCCATGTTACAGCTTTCATTTAGAAATAAAAATAAAAAAAGACCACTTATGCAACGTGATGTTTTTTAAGATTAATAAACTAAAGAAGGAGACATTCCCAGAAAGCAGAATCAGACACTGGCAATCAACGTTTTAACATCCCTGGGTGAGATACTTTCCATCTGCAGGCAGAGCAGCAGAGACCATTCCAAGGATGCAGAACCCACATATTGTTTTGCTCCATCTCTTTCATTATTTCAGCATCGACCCAGAAGGTTCCCAGGCATTGCTTCCACTGCAGCACAAGGTGCTGGTTCTGGGGGCAGGCAGCTGGTGGGGGGTGTTTGACATCAATCTGTGGCTCACTGTGGAAATCTGCTGTTAGGGGGAAGGTTCTCTTCTGCTCCTCAGAACTACCAGTCCCACTACTTACATCACTACTATGGGCTTAGGTCTCGAAATAAAGAGTGCCTTAATGCTAGCCCTTAAGTTCCCACTGCAAAACACAAGACAGCATCCAGCCCTGAATCAAGCTGCACGGTGGGACTGGCTCCCTGACACTCCTTTCTTTTGCTCTTACCCATTATGCAGCAGAGAGTCCAGCCAATGTCTACATGGCAATGACACAGAAGGAAAAAGTCCAGATGCTGCCTGACAAAGGGGAGAGAGATTGGGCTATTTGTAGTATCTGGCATATGCACCAGGCATGTCCAAATACGAAGAAAAAAATTTCTCTATCTTGGGCCAAAGTTCTAAGAAGAAAAAAAAAGAGGTTTTCAGGATGTGAGTCAGAAAGTCCTGGAAGGGTTTGCCTTGACAGAGTAATGATAACGGAAGGATAAGTGAAAGCATGGAGCTAGCTGGTGAGATAAGGCTGAGGTGGACACATATGCTTCCTGCCCACGAGAAGGGAAACAAGGCAACCCGAGTCTGAACATGCCAGCTTCCAAGAGCTTCCTCTGGGTACGGAGCAGCTCGCTCCTAAGAAGCGCGCTCCTGGGCACCGGCATGAAACAGCAAAAGGAGGAGGGGACCCACCTGGCCAGGAGGTTTGTGAGCATACCTGCTGCAGGCACTGCCAGCGGCTGCCAGCCCTCCCCTGCCACCTCCAGGGAGCCCAGCAGCTGCACGAGGGGCTTTCAAATAAAAAGCAGTTTGCATCAGCGCTGGGTTTGCTTGCTCTGCTATCTTCCGTGATCAAAGAATTGAAACAGCTGCATGTCTCAGCTCGCTGGCAATAAAACCTGCAGTTGATTGGCTTTGTCCTAACCCCACAGCTACAAGGAAAGTGCAACCACAGATTTGATGAGAAAAAAGAAGGCAAACACCCAAGCTGCATTTAGCCACGTTCTGCATCTTCCTAACCTGCAGTCTCCTAAGTGCCACTTACCCAATTAATCCAAGCTCTTCTACTTTATAAGCGAAGCTGTAACATATTTAAACAGCTTAGAAACTGCCCACCAAGCCATGCTCCCTATCTTATTCATCAGCTGCAGGACTGACTGTGCATTAACTAAGAAAGCACATGGCTTGATTAACACTTCCCCTGCCACTTCTCTGCTGCTCTTGATTTCTGCTAAGGCTGACATTTCCCAGCTTTTTTAGTGGAGTGGATCTCATCTCAGTAGGGACTGTCTTTTGGACCAGCTCCTAGAACATCCCTGCAGCAGCTATAGTAACTATTTTTATAGGCAAGTTTTATTAGGAAAGTATTTTAAATGGCCTTTGAATGCAATTTAGCAGCTGGAAATAAGGCAGTATGCCAGCACCATGTGATCAGACAATCCATGGAGCACCAACAAGTGCTACCAGAGGTCTCTGGTAGACCATGGTAGACAGACTGTGCTGATAGAATACACTGGGGACATTCAGTGAGCCAGGAGGTGCCCTGACACAGCAAATGCCTGAAAAGCTATGCTGTTCCTGGATCCCTTACTAAAAAAGCCCCTATTTCCAGAGTCCTAAATGGCCTGCTTGGAGCTAAAATGGCTGCAGAAGTGGTGGGATTTGTTACACAGTGGATGTCAGTTCATCATAAACACGTGTGAGGACAGAAGCAGCACAAGTGTGCTTCTGTGGCCATCAGTGAGTGTGCAAGAGGAGCGTGAGCTATGTGCTTATGGGGCTGCTTCTGACCAAACGATATGGGATATAAGGCAATGTAGCCCAAGCACACTGAGCCCAACATATTCATCTTCTGCCCCATACCCACGAGGCAGGAAAAGACCCACTTCCTTCTCCATTCTGACCACAGCTATGTTTGATTCCAAACAAAGACCTTTTTATCCTCAGCACCCTTTAAACAGCCCTCTGCACAGCACTCACATCATCAGACCTAGTGGGACGAATGTTTTTCATGTTTTCTGTACAGCAAAAATCCTCCCCAAGAACTGCAACAGCTTTGCAACAAAAGCCTGATGGACAGACTGGGGAATTGAAGGTCCCTTCCAACCCAAGCCATTCTATGACTTGTGCTGGGAACCAAGATGTAAGAGCGCTGTGGAGCAGCTGGCAGGCTCCAGCCCTGTGACATGGGGCTCCACGTGCAAAATGGGTTCCATCACCTGAGGAGCCGAGGAAGAGGCCTTCACCAGATGGTTCGAAAGTCTCCACAGGACAGAACTGCCCATAGGCAAAGGGCTGCCACAGGCTCCTTACACTACAGGGAAACCTTTCTCAAGGGATGCACAGATCTCTGCATGAGCACAGGTGTGGATTGCGAAAGTGCTGAGCGCACACCAGGCCCTGCTGCTGGGGCCAGACTCTTCTGAGTGGCCAAGGCAAGAAACCAGACTGGCATACTTGTAATCAATCACAGGTCTAAGAAAGTAAAAACAAAGCTTGAAATAGCTGAGGACCCAGTTCTAATCCCAAGCAACACTGGCGCAGCCACATGCAGAGTTATGCGGTTTAAACTCATGCAGATGAGAGTGGAAACTGGCCTCCAGTTCAAGTGCATGCTGAGGGAAAAGACAGCTTTCCTTTTAGACATGACTCCAATTGTACAGTCTGAGATTCAATTAAGCTTTGCTTTCCTGACATCTCCTTCCAAATAAAGGCTCAGTCTTTGTGCTAAGCATTTTTAAAAATAAAATAAAACAAAATCATACATTTGGCAGGACCTGGACATTCCAGCTACTAAATTGTACTGTACTTTATGCAAAATTTCAATGCATTAAAGGGAAGGGGGAGGGTAGCCTCTTTGACCAGTGTCCAACTGTTTAGAACTGTTAAATATGAGTTTTTGCCCATGTTTACATGTGGAATGGAACACAGCCATTCAACCACAAAATGTTCCCAAAGCAAACATCCAAAACCTGGCTGCTGGCAAGGTATACTGACAGGATCGCCTGAAACCAGTCATTCACAGAATGCCAAAACAACAGATTACCATTGGTAAAAAATACACAAGGTTATTTTCTTACGTCCTGGGAAGAGGCCATCGCAAGTGACAGGAAACAGCGACTGGCAAGGCCGAGTGTAGGCTCAGGGTTTTTTCATCTGGAGGGAGAAAAAAGATCAGTGTTATTTCAGATCTGCAGAAAAGCATGCGAGTAAGACAATAAAGCGAGCACATGTTGCCAATAGCACATATGGGCAACTTGAATTAGAGCATGCATATTCTGCTAAGTCAGGACTTGCAGCATGATAAATAAAGCAGAGGGAAGGTTGGACAAAGCAGCCAAAGTGGGACACAGCAGCTCCAGATGTGTCAGAGGGGAAGGAAAGATCAGGAGGTGCCCTGTGCCCCTTCAGACAGAGCCAAAGCTCTATGACAGTCCGCCACGTCCTAACCCTGCAGGGAAGGCTGGACCAGGAGGTTTTTCCCAGCTCTTTCCCAGCAGAGCTCAGGCTCCCTGCGATGCCAGGACCACGATGGCCAACCGTGAGATGTGTCCGAGATGTGGGCCGTCCACTGAGCCCCCTAAGAACAAGGGAGTCAAGGACCCAGATCCCTTTGCCAACTCTTGGGTTGGTTCTTGTGCTTGCCATGCCTGTTTTAAAAACCATTTGCATTTAGACTTTCACAGTCTCCACGCAACTGCAACCCTCCTGCTTCACAAAGGGCCGCAGCTGCACCGCGCCTGCCTGCTGCCTGCCCCATCCTGCCCCGCATCTCCCACACCACTGAGAGTCGCTCTGGTGCTGACCAAAACCAACAAATAGAAATGTTTTGCCATAATGTTTTCTTTTCTCCTGCATGTTCACACCTCCCCACGAGCTGAGTGATCCCTGTACACACCGGATACGTGTTATTATTCCTCCTGTGCATCGACACCTTGTTGCATGAGCCGCGTTGATCGATTGCAGGTGCCCCTCTCTATGAAACTGGCCAGCGACCCACTCACAAACTTGCTGCGCTTGTTAATATTAAAATCATATGGCCAATACCCTCCTAAATTAGTTCAGGCTTGAGGTGCTGCTGCTTCCCAGTAGGAACAGGGCTGCAACAAGCTTTCTGCAGGCCCCACTATTTATGGTAAACACTCCGCTTTGTTGAAATAACATAAAATTTTGAGATAAATCTATTCTAGCAAAGGAAATGTTAAAGTGCCACCACCATCTCTGTTCAGAATACTAACATGAGCCGCAGTGCAGCTGCACCAGGCAGTACTCACTGCACAGGGCTGCTGGACACGTAAGGACCACGTGTGCTCTGCTTTGATCAGAAGAGAGAGGGAAACTGTCCTGAAGCTCTCAGTCAGAAATGGAGGGCTGGATTCCCACAGGGATTGCCCAGAGCAGAAGCAGAGCTGCTTTTCACCTTCCCGCACCATTTACCTCAATCTGCAGCATTTGTTTGCAGGTCCCAGGATCATCTCCAGGGAGTTCAGCCACCACCAAAAGAAAATCAAAGCCCCTTAATGGCTTTCAAATATGAGGCATATTCCCAAATATTTATGATGTGTGCGTGCTGCCTTCATACTTTGTTGTCTGAGAAATATTTTAACAGGTGGACGGGCAACGATAGCTAATGGCAATTCGACTGATAAGTATTGGTACTTCAGTAGGTAAGTGCCAGGCTGTGCCCCATCATTAGCAGTGAGATGGAAACTAACAGAGCAGCAGGCAGGAACACAGGGCCCGTGCAGTGCCATTGGCTGTAGCCAGAGCAGAGGAATTCGCCTATTTTCTGCCAGTTCTGCTCATGGGACAGAAAAACAAAGCAGCACGAAGCGTGTCAGTGTGTGGCACTCCAAGCAGAGTCCCCTGCCAGCTGAGGTTGCTTCCTTCCTTTGAAAGGATGAGCACCCGACTTCTTATCACTAAAACACACTGTTTCATTGCACAGACTGATGAGCACATTCTTAGCTGTGTGCTCAGATGATGCAGTGACAACAGGTTTAAAGAGACCGTGCAGAATGAGAGGCACTGAGTGGTGAACAAAGTAGCTGGGCTATGGTAAATCATCCCTCCTCGCTCTGAAGTTCAGCTCATGAGTTCAACTGTTCAGTGTAAGAATGAAATGCTGTGCTGCAAATAGAGGTGGTGCAAATGCCATTGTTCTCAAGCACCAGTAATTCACCTGAGCAAAATCTGGGTGAATGATCCACAGAATGGCATCAGCTGGCCAGGAAACATTGCTGGTGATCTGCCCTGGCCACTGGAAATCCAACTAGGAGCACATTCTGGTTGTGAAAGTCAGTGAGAGACACCAACAACCTATGAGATTTTCCTGGAAATCCTATCAATATGAGCAGAAAATCTAGGAAGAGTGTGTGATTCTGCAACCAGGAGTTACTGAAAGACTGGAGTTCGGGTGCCATCGGTGCAGATATATTTAAGAAGAGAATCCCAAGGAATGTCTTTCAAAAAGTGAATAACGTTGCATGCTTCTGGACATCTTGTTCATCCTCTGCAGAAAAACATGGCTTTCTTTCACACATACACACTTCAAAGTTTTGCCCGAGGTTCCTCCAGCCTACTTTTCACTGTTCAGTTTACAAGCAGGTACATTTAAGCACATTTGAGTACTCTGAGTTTTACTCTTTGCAGGGCACATTCAGACCTGGCTGCAGATGGCTTTTTGAACTCTGTGCTCCAGACAGAAAAGCAGAGGGAGAATTTGAGGAGGCATGCAGATACAGAGTCATTGTGAGAACACATCAGCTGAATGCTGAGAGCTGCTAACAAAGTTGTGAAAGCAATGCATGCATCTTCAGGAGGATTTTCCCAGAACGATTGCATGCTCTCGCCTAGCAGTGCTTGGGAAGGCCACCCCAGAAGCTGATGGTTTAAGGTAGTTGAAGTGGGATTAGCCTCCATGAAAGACTCAGGAATACTTTTTCTCAGTGAAAGTTTACAATAATATTTTAAAGACTCTCAACCAACACCCATACTTAAGCTTTGAAAACAGATAATGCATTTTTAATGGGATTGCACATCTGACAAGGAATTTGACTAATTCCTCTGATAGCAGACAGCTTCCTCCCCATAATTCATCTCAAAAGGATCAAAAACCAAAACACTCCCTGCCATCTCTGGAATGGCCCCCCCTGCCCAGTGCCTGGAGAGGCTCAGCTCGGCTCCACGGCGGGTGGCAGGGAGCAGGGCAGGTCCACAACCCCACGGCCCTTCTGCCACAGGATGGGATGGCGTGAGGATGAAGAGGCCGAAGGCTTCAAGCCAGAGGCTGGGGTGCTGACTCTGAACCCAACGTCTCACGGGTTAATTTGGAACTTGGAGCTATCATCTGTGGCCACCAACGTCTTTGAAGTTGCTCAAGTCAGATAATTTCTCTGCTCTGGTGCACTAACGGCTGTGAAACACTGCGAGATGTTTGAATTTGAGGTGTTTGAGAAGGAAATGCATGAGGATTTTCATTAGCTTTTTCTATTATTTGCCCTAATGAAGATTTCCTGCTCATAATCGTATGCTTTGCCACGGATTAATGCCCTGCTCCAAAGGAGGACACAAGTCAGTGCTCTTCTGAACCACTTGGCTGTGCCTTTAAAACTATTCCCAGCATAATCCTTCATAGAAGATCCACAGCACAAAACCTAGCAAGGTCTGTCAAGGCATTTTTAGCATTTGTTCTGTTAAAAAAAAAAAACAAGAAAAAAACCCTGAGGTATTAGGGTGCACTAATCTTTAAAAAGGTTAATTTATTCATAGAGATTTTGACAGAGATGTATGGCTAGGCTGGAGTCCCAGGCACCTCTTCCCAAGGGGAGCTGCCAGTGCGGAGACGGCTTCCCCGATACACAGAGGGCTCCAGGATGGGCCCACGCAGCACAACCAGCAGGTTCTGTGCATCCTGGGCACTTCTGCTTCTGTGAGCAGCCCTGGAGCTGCCCCTGCTCCCAGCACTGCAGTCCCATGCAAAGTGCAGGCAGTGAAGCATCACACTGTCATGGAACCCAGCAGGTAATCAACCCAGCAATGCAAGGAAATTGGGAGCGTGTGGCTGAGCTTCTCAGCGTTGTGCTGACTGCTGGCAGCAGGGATGGCATGGCATGGGCAGCATATGGTGCTGTGTCAGTGAAAGCTTTCAGACACGTCTCTCCAGGCAGACTGTGCTTCTGCTGGGCTTTACAGAATAGCATTCTGGGTTTCTCATATGCTTGTTCTCAGACAAAATTCAGTGAGACTACAAGTAATTCTCTGGATATTCTGAGCTAATTGATGCTCCAACAAGAGACACTGTGTTAAATAAACTGTATCCTTGAAATAAAACAGATTGGAAAAAGTGAACCATAGTTTATAATATTTGATCATGCCCTATTTTTTCCACTGGGAACAGAGCTTGATCCATAAGTGCACAAAGACCACTTGCAGATTAAAATTGTCCTTACTTCTTGCAGCTGAAGCAGGGGGTGATGCAGAGCCTCCAGCCCTCTGGGGCCTCCAGCTGTCAGGATACTGTAGGAACTCAGCCTGATAACTGATTTGGTTGCTTCTTTTTAATTTGCTTGGAGTCTGTGCAATTAAAACTAAAGTTTCCACAGGGTGCAGAAGGATAGAGCTAATTTGTGAGTGCCCTCTCGTTTCAGCAGCAATTGCTCAATGTCAGGAATACCTGCGCTGTTTCTTTCCAGCTCTTTCCCAAAAGAGGAATGTATTTCTACTGATACAGACGGGTACCTGGGCTGCAGCCTTGCTCAGCCACCTGCATCTCATCTGCATCTCATCTGCATCTCATCTGCATCTCTGGCACTGCAGAGGACAGGAGACAAGCTCAGTCAGCGTGAGCCAAAAGCAGTAATGCTCCGCTGACCAGAGCTAGTTAACTGCTAGTTCAGATTATTAACCTCTCGTGTGTAATGAGAGTCCTGAGGCTGCTTAAGCCACAAGACCAAATTTCTCCTAACCACAAACATGGAATCCTCATTAATACGAATCTGAGACACTTTCCCAGGAAGAAATAATTTGTAGAATGTAGAATCCACCCAGAAGCAAAGGATGCTGGATTTAGAGCTATGCCTGAAACTTCGGCAGCTCAGTTTAATTTGTCCCCAAGGAGAGGGAGGAAGGTCTGCAATGAGAAATTGATTTTTATT